ATTTTCTGAACCGCTGCAGTTGCGTACTCTTACCATATGGGGTGTGTAAGAGTACGCACGCCAGGCGGGTGGAGTACGCAAGCATATGAACACACACCTATGTAGCTTGTACTGTCCAAATGCTTAACTTCAAACTCAGAGGGCATTTAAGTTAATTCTAGTATCCAAAAAGAAAAACATAAAATAAATCTTTCAAGTCTATAAATCAGTAAATAATCATGTCGTGTGTTTCTTTAAAAACATGCACAATCAAAAGGGAGAATAACTCGTATTTGGAAGAATTTCGGGTACGCATCTGCATCACAGTGCTCCATTGATGATATACCTACAAAACAAACGTCATTGAGCGATAGATTAATAATTGTATATTTCTGTATATTCGATTTAATGTATAATTCTGCGTACTCTTACCCTCCTGAACAGTGCGTCCTCTTAGCGTACATGCAATTCGCGCACAAAACAACCCCGAAACGTTGTGCAAAACTTCGCAAACAGAATATTGCACTGCACAGTATTTCCCCAGATAACCTCACAAGTTTCCCACAACAATCGCGGAAATGTACCTTATCTGAACTGCCAAGTATCAACATTATTGTACCATACCATAATACTATCATAACGCTCGAAAATAATATTCATCGCCTTAAACTCAACAGCGTCGCCGCTCAACGCCCACGTTCCGTTGGTGACAAGCACGCACTGGCGGCTTCATGTCACTTCATGAACTCGACAAACCCGCGTTGCTAAGCAACCGAAACAGCTGATGCGTACTCTTATCGCCCGCGTACTCTTACCCGCCCTTACCCTACCATGTGACCAGTTCTCATGTGTTCTAACAATCGATGAAGGGCACAGTTAACTTGAAATCAGTTTTTTTCGTCAGCTTAGGCTTACGAAAAAGATAATAACGCGAATGTTATGCTAACGGTTACTCGGAAATCGTAACAGCAAGACTCGCGAGACTCGGCACCTTAGATTGGCATTACCGCCGTATTCATTTTTCCACCCAGTTTGGCAACAAAACCCATAAGTTTATATTTGCCCCAAAAAACTTTGCATTTTGTTGACACACAAGGCATATACTTTGTTTATAGACCCGATCGAAGGAGTGGCGCATGGTGCCTCTATTTGCAGTGAGTTCCTACCGAATGATACCATAGTCATTGAGTTATTACCGGTTTTGTCGAAAAAAGAATACCTATCACGCAGTCTGCTGAGCGCTGTAGATTTACCAATAGAAAGAACACGTCAACTAATTGTCTGCATACTACTTAACCCGCGCCCTGGTGGGGTTTGTTTATAACGCGACCTGGGGCCGATTTCACCAAGTGAATATATTCTTGGTGTACTTTGGAAAAGTACACCAACAAAGTACGACGACAATACTATTCTGTTTCACCACAGGAATATATTCACTACGCCCGCTTTACGTAGTTTGAGAGCCACTGGCGCGCATGCATACATCTTGTCGGGGACATGCAGTCACTATGTATATTTTTCCGTATTTAAAGTCAACGAGCTTAAATGCTCAGATACACAATATTATGAAAAAAATTCTGGCTACGCTAATAAGAATTAAATTTGCTGATCATACAAGAGGAAGTGCCTAAGGAAATATTGCTAATAATGCTCTTGATTTTTGCTCGGAACATGACATTCCAAAGCCAAAATGTAAACAATCGGCAGCAAGCCGCGCAGCACAGTTGAAGTTACTGGCGTGTGTGGGTTTTATTGGATTTTGAATTAATATTAATTTTTTCTTCCAAGTTACTTCTCATTAAATATTGCTTTAAAGGGACTATCCCACCTTTAACATGGGGTTTGAGTTGAGATAGCCAAGTTTGCGGCGAGGTTCAGAAACCACTATCTATCTAGGTTATTCGTTCCCTTCATTTGAAAATGGGCCTTGTACAAGGCCCTATCTTCAACATGGAGCGACCGTTAGTGTGACGTCACCTCGTTTAGTCATTCTGATTTAAATGGGTTTGTTCGTTGAAAAATCGCTTAAAACTTGGTCTGAACTTTGTTGTGGTGCCTACAGAGTAAAAAGAATCAGCTTTATGACAGTAATGTGGCCTGGGGAAGGAGGTAATTTTGGGCTGTGACGTCACATATTTGAAAGTTTGTGTTTGGAATATGGGAAGCCTAAGATGTTTAATGAAAAATAAATGCCAGCAACCGTGTTCCTGGTCATCCAATCTATAAAGTCGGGCACAATATAACTGGTTTTAACAACATTTTAGAAGATGGGATAGTCCCTTTAATATTTGTTCACATCTTCTACGCAATTCTGGAGTGGTTTAGAGCAAATATAAATAAAGCCGAACAATAAATGGCATTACTTGAGGCACCTATCTAACTACCGATCACTGATGGTAGCAATTGGAGCACGGCCGACTAGCCGACAAGTTATCTGAAATATTACCTGAATCAAGTTTTTAAATAATCGAAGAGTCTACCGACGACTTCAAATATGGAGAATATTTCGGAATCATTCTCTGAACCTAAACGGAAGCGGGAAGCCGGTGATAAATTGCATCATTTGGCCACAACACAAGAGAAATATGGATACTGCAAAGAAATAGTAAAAGTGGGCGATGAAAACGAATGTAATGAAGCGTTGTGACTTGTGATGCAACATGCTGGGCATGTCAATCAAGGCGTTGCTAGGCTGGACTTCAGTTCTTCCTCTCGCCCTCGTAAGCTATTTACTTTCTCTTCGGTAAAACGCTGTATAAAGAGCACGGTGTAATAATCACGGTGAGAAAGATTTGAAACGCTTTTGGCCTTTTGTGTTATCAAAATACAATGTGAACTGTCGTTTTTTTTTTTGGAAGTGGAAAACTCAATAATGTAATCGGGAATGCGAATGAAAAAGGGAATTCCCTGTTGTGTTTCTGCATGATGGGGTGATTTTAATCGCAGTGATGCCACGATGAGATAAGCCTTATAAAAATAGCTGTTCTTGGGTTTAATTTCAATATAAGCCCACCCTATATATCCAGCAAGAAATAACCATTATGACCTCTAAAACTTTTTGCGTAGCCAGTGGCATGTTTTTATCATACGTTGCATCGATGAAGTCATTAAATTTGTAACATTATCATACAAAAAAAATTGATGTATGCCAAGCTGTTTCTCAAAGTATGCCACAAAAAGTAGCATACTTTCAGTGCCAGCAAACTCGGCAAACAGCTGTTGAAAAAGCAGATCGGCGTACCAGAAGTACCTCAAACGTAATCTAGTATGCCAAAAAACGACGGACTTCTGCAGTCATAATTTGTCTTTGTCTTGAATAAGTATCCCTGTACGGAGTTTGGTGAAACTGAATATGTCATAATATGCCAAAAGTGAATATGTACGCCGCCGTAATGGAATATATTCACTTGGTGAAATCGGGCCCTGGTGGGGGGGCTATTTTTGGCCCCCCCCCCTCGTATCTCCGAAACTACTGGACGGATCCGCAAAATTCAAACGGCGTTCGAAAGGCCTGTCAAATTTGTCGAAGGAAACCAAATTTTATTGACCTCGGGGTCACCGATGACGTCACAGGTCAGGTCAAAGATGAAATGTTTTACCGTTCACGGGTCTTCTAGGGAATGTGCTATAACACCGAGGAAAACGCATTTTGTCGAGAATCAGCGATAGGGCGTCAGTTGCCTAGTAGATATGTTGCTGTTAGAGGTCACTGGTCATACCAGGTCAGGTCACAGGTCAGGTCACCAAAGGTCACCAAGGGTCACCACATGAACCCAACTTTACTAAGGTTGTGCGATGCATGTTCTATGGCCAGTTTTTCATTTCCAACTCAATGGTGTTGGTTATAAGACCATCAGGTACGGTTTAGGTCACTTTCTGGTGGAGGTCAGGTCAAGGTCAGGTCAAAAAAGGTCAAATTTCAAAGTTGATATTTTTGCATAAAATGGGTATTGATTCGATGCAGCTCGTCACGGGGAGTCTAATGGTGGTCTTTGTTTTGCGCTACGAGGTCTAGAATTGCTGAAATTGAGCTTGAAAATTTGACGTCATCAATTTTGAACAGTTTTTTTCAGTATAACTTGGCCAAAAAGAGGTATCGATCTCAAATTTGGTATGTAGATAGAAGGCGGTAGGGACTATCACATATATTCCGGTTTTTTCGAAATTCAAAAAACTTTGGATTATTCGGCTATTATATTAAAAAAATCTATTTTTTTATTATTGGGGGTCAAAATCCAAAAATTTCAAAAATCCGAGATAACAGTTTTGTAGCCCTGTCCATTCTACAGCTTTTATGTCTGTATCATTTTTCTGTATTTGCAAAGCTATAGGCCTGACAGCTCTTCCCGCGAAACCTTTTTTTGGGTCGAAAACGGCAGAACATGACGTCACTCTGACGTCATTTCCGGCCAACCTATCATAGCCTTTGGAAAAATTTTTGGTCACAATGTGTAAAATTGATGTCCGGGAGGGTACTGAAAGTTTGGTGACGATCGGTGCAGTGGTTCTGGAGATGTATCGAAAAGTCTGGAAGGGGGGGGGGGCAAAAAATAGCCCCCCCCCCACCAGGTCGCGGGTTAACAAAGATCCAAATGTTTTTTTTTTTTAGAGAAATGAAAATTTCAACAAAAAATTGGTCCCAAAAGCCTAGAAATGCAAATGAAAAAGAGAAACTCGAGACGTAGATCCAAAAACGTTTATTCTTCTAAATTTCAATGATGCACATTAATCTTTCCTTCATTGCAATTTCAATGCTGTATAGGATTTGACGCTTGGAGTTACAGCCCGCCAAACTTTGCGCGCTGAAATGCAAGATAAAAAAATGTTATGCACTATAGTCAAAAAATGCATATCTGATAAACCTAATATTGTTACAGGTGAATTCAGAGAGACCAATTCTCGTCAAAATCCGAGAGATGAGGGTGTCAAATTGGAAAAAGAGTAGTACAATCTATCAAGGAATGCGTGACGCTCTGGCGCCTGCACTGCAGCTGTTGTGAGTGGGCCCGTCTCGCTGGCAGCCGTGTTCCTGGCCAGTCTGGCGTCGTCTGCGTGCACGGACCCGTCTTTGGTGCCAGTGGGCCAGCCGGCGGACGCGGCCGCCCAGCCGGGCCGCTGCGGGGTCACGCTCGAGCTGTGCGCCGGCTGCGTGGACAAGGACAAGCCGCTGGAGCACATCGCCCGCGAGGAGGTGCTGGAGGAGTGCGGCTACGACGTACCCGCCGAGCGGCTCCGGCGCGTCAAAACCCTGGTGTAAGTGAAGCCTTATAGGGTAGGGTGGGGTAATTTGAACATGTGGGGCAATTTGAACATAGTGTGAATAACACAAAATTACGGAAAATCCATAAGTCGCATGACAATAGACGCGTTTACATAGGGTTTGTTGCAAGCTTATATCTCCGTCCGTGATGTTGCAAAAGATGCCAATGGTGCCTAACAATTTACAAAATGATCCCCTCTAAATATTTGAAGACCACTGCATCGAAATTATCGCCAAATTAACGAGCTAGAGCCTCGCCAAAAATGCTATGTAAACCGGGTTAATAAGACCAATGAGAGAAATTATCGTAACTAAAAGGGCTATCATATGAACGGGGTTTAAAGTTTCAGGGAATGAAGATGTTGACGCACAGTGTAAAAAATCAATTTCGCAAGGAAAAACGCCTAACAACACGTCATTGCAACTTCATTGCAGCGCAAAATCTTGCATTGCTAGCGCCTAATACGCAACGGCTTTTGTTGTATAATGATCTAATCAGTGCCTTCAATCCAAGAAATTTGCTTTTGAACCCTGTTTTTTAAAATGGCAAAATAACTTTTAGCGTGGGGTAATTTGAACATAGTGTGAGAATTTGAATGAAGACAGGGATAGCTCCGAAAAAAACAACGCTCCTACAGGGTGTTTCACTAAAAGTGTCAAAAAGTAAATGCTTATTAAAGATATATAAAAGACGCAAAGCACGTGGTTGCGCACGTGGCTTTGTTGCAAATTTTTGGACATTTATGCTTTGGCCACTTAACATATATTTTACACTCATACGGAGCGAGGGCAGGAGGCCAAAGTTACTAGTCGTTTTTTTTCCTTATACAGAACAAGAACAGGTTATTTACACCGCAACAGGAGGGGTGAATTACACTTACATTTGGTGCTATCAGAAACATTAAAACCGTACGCCGACTTTTCAGGAAACGTTTCACTCTCTCACCTCGCTACGACCCAGATTATAAAAGTTTCAAAGGGCTTCTTGAGAGGTTTAAAAGGGTTCCTTTGATGCCGGTTCCAGTCCAAAAAAAGGCGGGTCGCCCCCACCTCTCGGCGGAAATCGTTGAAAAGGTCAGGGTCTTTTTTAGGGCCTTTTAAGATAACAAGAAGCTTATTTCAATATCAGAGATAGCCAATCCCCCAATTTATCAGAAACAACCACTGTAACGGCTCTAGCCACCAAGAACTGGCTGGACCAGAAGTTCCGTTCCCGGGCCGAATAATCAGCTGCCTCACCGCCCGCCCATGGCCAGCGCGAGCCCCCGATCTGTCACCGCTAGCCTTTGGTTTTGGTCAGTAGCTGTCGCAGAGCTGAGGAAGACTTAAGTCGCATCACTTTTGGAGCTGAAGAGCACAATGCAAGGCTTTGCCGACAGTCTGGACGCTGAAGATGAAAACGGGCTGTGAGGCACCTCCGGACACGTGCCGAAACGGTGCATCAAAAGAAGCGGCGGATATGTGGAATAGGTTTGAGTGACGGTGATATCATTATTATATATTCAAATGTCCAACAATTGCGGATGGAATGATGTGCAAATGTCCATAGAAAACATTGTTATTATGTGCATTAGGGCCTTTTACTTTTTGACACTTTTAGTGAAACACCCTGTAGTTTTTTTTTTGCCAATATTTTCGACCCAAGGCAGTAGCAGATAAGTGATGCCAGTTTTAGAAAATTTACGTCTAATATCCGTCTAATCTCCGGCATTTTTGTTGATTTTCCGTCCAAAAATGTTAAAGTCAACTATTTGTCCAAATATGTCCGAAAATTTATGCAGCTATCAACACTCAAAACCGTCATTTATATTGCTTATCATGTAATTTTACCAGCCGAAAAGTTTTCATTATATTGAGAGCTTAACAAGCTTTCCATTCGCCAATCAATGCTATGCACGATTACTTTATAAAAAGCGCTGAAGTGTAGCAAGCCATCGTCCAATGTTGTCCAGTCTGCTACCTTTGTCCAACCAATTCCGAATTGGACATTGGGCAAAATCAGAACTCCAAATGTCCAGGTTTCGATTGGCACCACTTTAACAGATGTAGTACGGTTGGGAGAGTTTTTATCGAACAAAAATGATAGACGTTCTGTTAATTGAAAAGGGGCGAATTCTGTCAACTGACCGGTGTGCAGCGTGCAGATATTGATACTCTGCAACTGTTATTTTTGCTGTTGTGTTGATTTTTCAAGTGAAGGTATGTTTAGAATTGTTCTGCCTATTTGTTTATGGATCAAACAACATCGGTGCTGGCGAGACTATCGTTTTTATGACAGGTAAAGGCAGTATGTTCAAATTACCCCACGGTGGGGCAATTTGAACACACCGTGACTTGGTGGAGAAGTGAGGCTATGCTATTCAAGGTATGCTCGGCTCGTCCAAAAATGAGGCTTGCATGGTGAAAGCAAGTGACACTTGCGCTACTGAAGCAGTTTTTCTTCATCCAGGGTTGAACTGGAATTTGGTACAATGGAGAAGACGTAAAAATATGTTCAAATTACCCCACACTACCCTACACAGGGCCTCGGCTAACATGTTAACTGGTGGGCCAAATGGCCCACCAGTGACCCGAAATGGCCCACCAGCCTCAAAGATTTGGCCCACCAGTAATTTTCCGAAAAATCTAAGTTTTCACATTTCAAATTGAACTAGCAGATCTTATCGTACATTTTCAGGCTGTAAAGTACCCATCGGTGAAACATATTCTTGTGAAAAAACTTCAACCTATTGTTTGCAATATCCCCTTGGGGTAAAAATGGAAGAACGGACCAGTTCAGACGGTCGGGGATAAGCCTGCGAGCGATCTCAGACGGCTGGCCGATAGACACGATATAAGCCAGAGTCAAACTAGAGGTAGTTTCGGCGACTTCCAGCCGATTGAACTCTGCAAGCGATATTAATACTGCCGAATTTTGGCCACGACCCTGTCGCCGAATCACGTCGTGTAGGAAATCGGCAAGGCCTTAATCGCGAATGAATGGCGAATCTGTTGCGAATAGTCGGCGATGCCTTGGCAACAAGTCGACGCACGCAGCGACATGTCGGCGGCGACTCGGCGACTGTTTGGCGATCATGTTCGTTTATTATAAATTCGGCTAACGGCCACGAAATTTTCATTTTCATGAAATATACGTGGCGGTCGTGACGACCCGTAAAGCCCTTGTTACACTGCCGCCGAATTTTGGTACACGAATATGCAAGTCATCCTATGTCGCGGACGGATTCGGGATCTTTCTTCCACGGTCTTGGCATTTCGCAGACCAGTCGGTGTCCACCGCGCGACTTTTACGGTTCGTCACGACCGCCACGAATATTTCATGAAAAATGAAAATTTCGTGGCCGTTCGCCGAATTTATAATAAACGAACATGATCGCCAAACAGTCGCCGAGTCGCCGCCGACATGTCGCTGCGTGCGCCGACTTGTTGCCAAGGTATCGCCGACTATTCGCAACAGATTCGCCATTCATTCGCGATGTTCGCCGAATCATGGATCAGCTTCGACCCGCGCACGATTAGGGGGCCCCCTACCCGTTTTCTGAAAATCGGGCTCTGTCGGCGAACTGTTCGTCTCTGTCGGTGAACTGTTCGCCGATTTCCTACACGACATGTTTCGGCGACAGGGTCGTGGCCAAAATTCGGCAGTAACACGGCCTTAAAAGTCACGCGATGGACACCGACTGGTCTGCGAAATGCCAAGACCGTGGAAGAAAGATCCTGAATCGGTCCGTGACATAGGATGACTTGCATATTCGTGCACATTCGTGTACCGAAATTCGGCAGTGTAACAAGGGCTTTATATGCGTCTTCACGACCGGTATGATGCTTGCAGTCACACATCTGACCAGTCGGACGAATTTCGAACCGTTCACAGTCAGCGTTCCAAAAATTTCTCATTCTTGGGCTGAAGATGACACTCAAGAATAAGAATGGATATTTTTCCACTCTCACATTTTGGGTGGCTAGAATTTTCCACTCAGACACCCAAGACAAATCGGAAATTTGGGACACTGTTCACCAGAAGTGTACATAACTTTTTTTTAAAGAAAATATTAGGGTTGCGCACTCACGCGCAGTGCGCTTGGGCTTTTGAGTCAATTCTTTTCCATGCGACACATGTTGGGGTTGCTGCTACAACCCTCTTTTGGGGTTCCTGCTACAGCCCACTTTATATATAAAGTTGCACTCGTGCTGTTCACCATTCCTCCCGATCCACCCGACAACGCCCGATCTCTTCCGACCGCTTCCGAATCTCCGACTAGTCGGCGAGCGATCCACTCAGGGCTCGCTGATTTTTAACATCCGACCGGCCGTAAGTTATCGTCCAAAGTTTTATAATCTGCGTCAATATTTTGTGCATACTTGTGCGATTTTATGTGCACTGCCGGAGTATCACCGCTGAGAGGGTGGTGGGTCCCTTCTCTCTCCTCTCTCTGAAGAGTCGGGGGGGGGGGAGCGGGGTCGAGCCCCGTTTTTTTACATTTTTTAATGGCATCCTGACGTTTTTTTGCAGAATAAAGTGGCCGAAATCTGGGGAGAAATCTAAAATGGGGGGAGGGGGGGGGGGCTATGGCTAGTGGCTACGAAGGTCAGTCCATGTCGCTGCCCAAGTGGCCCACCAGTCAAAATTCCTTAGCCGAGGCCCTGTACCCTCTCGCCCTTCTGCACGTGGAGGGCTCACTATCTCGCTCGCTCGTTCATTGCCCAAAAGGCGTTTTACTGGTATAAATGTTTTGAAAATAGCTGGTACCGAAATTATTGTTTTACAATGCATTGAAAAACTCAGGCTATAAGCCAACCAAAATATAACCCCGTCGGCCGTTTCTCTTTTTTTTGGGGGGGGGGGGCCTTCGGCAGCGTGTTTCTTTTTTCCAACCAAAGGAAGGCGCTGTACCCGAAGATGCTTCTTTGTAACCAAACCAAACAAAAACTAACATAACCTAACCTAACCTGACCTAACCTACAACCTACAAACCTACAACCTAACCTACAA